AAAGGGTCTGGTGGCACAATTAAGGTTAAGAACTCTGCTGTATAATATCTCTAGTAAGTGGTTATGCAGCCATCTCTTGACAACCTCTAGTAAAAGGGAAACTGATATGGAAAAAATCCATAGTCTGATGTTGAAAAACCTTAACTTGCAAAAAAGATAATTTAGGGGTAATATAATGTAAACAATATAACTATACACAAATAATATAAATAATAATACAGAGTAACAGTAATAATAATTGACATTTCTAAAGTATAGAAAAGGCGACAAAGAACTTTCCTTATAACAGCCTGTGAGGTGGGTAGGACAAGTATCAGCAGCAGCTAACCCTCAGAGAAGTTAGATGATAATGATTTGCCTATAGTCTCTTGGTTAAAAAGTGTTAAAGCTGGGATTTGAACTCAAATCTTCTGACTACCAGGTCTTCTATTCTTTCCATTTTACCTCACTACTTCTGCTTACACTAGTCAGTCAGTTAATATTTGTTAAGGCCTACTATGTGCCAGATACTGTGCTAAGTGCTGAGAATACCCAAAAAGGCAGAAGATGGTTCCTTTTCTTGAAGGGCTCACAATCTAGTAGGGGAGACAACATGCATATAACTACGTACAAACAGGCTATATACTGTACAACAGTAGGAGGGTACTGGAATGCAGAAGGACCAAGAAGGGCTTCCTGTAGAAGTTGATATTTTAGGTGGGACTTGAAGAAAGCAGAGATTAAGAGATATATAACAATAATAATAATAATAATTTTTTTTTGCTTTTTGTTTTTTACGAGGCAGTGGGGTTAAATGACTTGCCCAGGGGTCACACAGCTAGTAAGTGTCAAGTGTCTGAGCCTGGGTTTGAACTCAGGTCCTCCTGACACCAGGGCTGGTGCTCTATCTACTGTGCCACCTAGCTGCCCCCAATAATAATAATTATTAATACTAACATTTATATAGTATTTATTATGTGCCATGTTAAGCCCTTTACAATTATTATCTCATCCTCACAACAACCCTGGGAGGTAAGTTCTATTATCTTTCCCATTTTACAGATGAGAAAATGGAGGCAAGCAGCAGTTAAGTGGCTTGCCCAAGATCACACAGCTAGTAAGCATCTGAGGCTGGATTTGAACTTGCATATTCCTGATGCCAGACTTGGCTGTCTATCCACTGTGCCACCTTACTGTTTCTTAAAAGAAGAGCTTTTTTTAGACATGGGGGACAGCTACTGAAAATGCCCAGAGTTGGGAGATAGAGTGTCTTGTTGGAATAGTAGCAAGGAGGGTAATTCACAAGATATGTGATGAGTTGGGGTAAAAGGTGTAAGAAGACTAGAAAGGTAGGTGGGGGCAGGTTAAGAAGATCTTTGAATGCCAAACAGGATTTTATATTTGATCCTGGGAGTGATAGGAGAGTTTATTGGGGTGGGGTGGGGTGGGGTGGGGTGGGGTGAGGTTGACATGCACTTTAGAAAGAACTTTGACAGCTGAGTGGACGTGGACTGGCGTGAGGTGAGCTTTGTGAGACTGAACTTCACTGCTGCAAAGGACATTGACAGAAATGTTATTGAAGGCTGTTAAACAATGAATTTTGCAAAAAGTTAGCCCCATTATGTGACATTTAGGAGGTCATGCTGTCACCCTTTGCTCTACGCTTCAAAGAAAGAGGCAAATGATAAGGAATAAAATTGAGATCAGAAATTTTTTCAAGGAAGCAAGTTCCCACTCCCTTAACCCATATATCCAATCAATTGCCAAATTTTGTCATTCTTACATCCCCAATATCTCTCACATCTTTCCCCTTCTTTGCATTTCTACAACCTCTACTCTAGCTCAGTCTTTCTCTTTGTTGTTGTTCAGTTGTTTTCAGTCATGTCTGACTCTGTGATTCCATTTAGGGTTTTTTTGGCAGAGATATTGGAGTGGCTTGCCTTTTCCTTCTCCAGCTCATTTTACAGATGAAGAAACTGAGGCAAATAGGGTTTAAGTGACTCGCCCAGGGTCACATAGCTAAAAAGTGTCAGAGGATGGATTTGAACTCAGGTCATCCTGACTCTGGGCCCAGCTCCTATCTACTGAACAACCTAGCTGCCCTCCTCATTAATCTTTCTGCCTCCATTATTTTCCCTCTCTAGTATATCCTCTACTAGTATATAACCAGTGTATCTGTCTAACAAATATTTTTAAGGTAAAGATTTCATCATGATACTTCCCTCTTACCCCCATTCAAAAATCATCAATGACTCCCTATTTCCTCTAGGGAAAATACAAAATTCTCAACCACCATGGTATTTAAAGCTGTCTGCGGTATGGCTTCCATCTACCTTTCCAGTGTTATTTTCTATTCGCTCCCCCAAATACACACATTCTTTACGCTTTGTTCCAGTCAGGCTGGTCCAGTGGCTGTTCTCATAAACAAAAACAGTCTATCTTCTCTCCTTTTTGGAAACAAGTGGTCCCTTATAGCTGCAAAATATAATCCTTCTTAGCCTTGTTATTTATGTCCTCCCGAAGCACAGCTTTGGTGCTGCCTGATGAATGCTAGTCCTTTCCTGATCTCCACCCTTCCCCCTAGTTATTAACTGTCTCCCCTTTCATTATATTTTATGCTTACTTCCTTGTGTACATGTTGTGTCCTTCCAATACAGTATAAGCTCCCCGAGGGCAGAGGCTGTTTCATTTTTGTCTCCCCAGTGCACAGCACAGTGCCTTATACATAGTGGGTGCTTGATAGACATTTGTTGAATTGAATATCCTAGGCTTCCTTATAGGTTTAGTCCAGTGTGCTGTATCATCTAGATCTACATACAGTAATTGATATTCATAACATCTCTGAGTTATCAAGGAAAGATTAAATTATGTTTCCTATGCTGTTTACGACCATAGGGAAACATATAATAGATTGTAGGAAGATTTCCATTTCAAAAGTGTTTAAAAAACAAAACATTTTGCTCCTTTCTTGGCTCTTCAGTTTCCTGGGAAATTGTCATCTAGGAATTTTGTTTCCTGAATCACGCCATAGGACGTCTGTTCCACTGTATGTCTTTGCTGACCGTGTCTGTTATTTCTTTGGTTTGGGTACTTCCTCCACCAAAGCAAATCACAGCCCTTCCAAAACCTGAGTGATACTTATCATAATGGTAATAAAAATTATAGTTCCCATTTATATGTCACTTTGAGTTTTACAAAACACTTTTTTCTTAATAACCCAGTGAGATGGTAGAATCTTCTAGGAATCCTTCATAGGCTATCCATTTAATGTGCTTAAGGCTTTCCTCTAGTTCTTTAATATCTGGGATTGGGGACGAAGAGGGATGGTGGTGTTACATCTGGTTGTAGAGCTCGTATTGTCTGTCTTTTGTTGCAATAGATAGAGTGCTATGCCTGGAGTTGGAAAGATCTGGGTTAAAATGTGGCCTCCACTTACTAGTTATATGACCCTGGACAAGTCAGTTTCCACATCTGTAAAAAGGGAATGATAATAGCACTTACCTCTCAGGGTTGTTGTGAAGACAGAACAAGGTAATAATTATATAGTGCTTAAAGTAATGCCTGTCACATAGTAGGTGCTATATAAATGTTAGTTGTCATTTTTATTATTATTAACATTAGTTTGTCCTTCATGTTCACTGAATGACTGGTTCACCTGTTCTTCAGGTCATAAGTTGATATCCTAGAGCAGGAGTTGGCAAACTGTAGCCCTTGGACCAATTCCAGTACGCTGGCCTGTTTTTGTATTTTTTTACAGTTTTAAAACCACTCTTTGCTCATGGGAGGAATTTGGCCTGCAGGCCATAGTTTGCCAGCTCCTGTCCTGGAGCATGATGATATCTGAAAGGTCTAGCATGATTCCTTTTGAACCTCACCCCTAGCTATGCTCACTAGCACGACTGATTGATCTGAATGAGCTTCATTGAGACCCATCTGTGGAAGCTGTGTGTGATACTTAACAACCTCCGTTGTTACCTTTTGTTGACTTTTAAATTTTGCCTCTTGAAACCTTCTTTTGGCCCAACTGTTACATTAGCTGTCCAGCTCTGGGCAGCAGAGTGGAATGGTGCATGAGGAAGATACGAACATAAAGGAAATATTGAAATGGTCCTGAATACATTGTGTTTTAATGTCATTGAAATTTGTCACAGATATTTCTTTAAACTCTTGAGATGTTGAGATCAGTAGTACAAAAAATTTGATTTAAATTTATGTGAGATTTTTGTTTTTACATATACCTTCTCACTTCATTGTAGTTATAATATTGCATTTGGAAAGAGATAAATTTCATTATTCCCATTTTTGACATGGAAAAAGAAGAGCACAAAAGTTTGTCCTTAGTATAGGCAGAGACATTTAAGTGGCACAGTGGATAGAGTGCCCAACCTGGGGTCAGGAAGACCTAATTTCACATCTGGCCTCAGGCACTTACCAGCTGTGTAAGCCTGGGCAAGTCTCTTAACACCTCTTTGCCTCAATTTCCTCATTTGTAAAATAGGGATGACAATAATAATATCTACATCCTGGGTTGTTGTGAGAATACAATGAGATAATATTTATAAAATATTTGTAAACCTTCAAGCTCTATATGTAACTGCTAACTGTTGTTATCATTAGATGGGACCCTGACTTTGTCCTTTATGCTACTTGATAATACCTCCCCTTTGTCCTTTATGAGCTTACTAATTACCAGGTAACTGGAACAAAATTGAAAGACTTGCTCAGTTGCTCAAAGGTGTATCTTTGTTTCAGTTTCTGTGGAGATAAGATGGCTGCATTCTAAGAAATATACTGGACTGGAAATCAGGCAGGAAACCTGGACTAGTCCTGGCTCTGCCCTGTGTGACTGTGCAAATCACTTAATGTGCCTGGGTATTAGTTACTCACTTTTAAAATGAAGGATTTGAAATACCAGGATGAGCACTAAAGGTCCTTTCCTGCTCTAGAATTCTATGACTGAATCTGTGACCTTTTTTTTTCTCTCTCCCTCTGTCTCCTTTGAAAAAATTTGGTTACTATAGGTTTACCAAGTTGAAGAGCCTTAATCTTTCCAGTAACCATCTCGGAGATTTCCCTCTGGCAGTATGCAATATCCCAACCTTGACTGAGCTGAACGTGTCCTGCAATGCCCTCAGAACTGTTCCAGCAGCAGCAGGAGATATGCACAAGTATGTTCTCAAAGTCCCATCATGGAGTACAACCCATGACCTTTCTGCACAGGTTTCACAAATGCTTAATGTTAAGTCATTTTCTTAGCTGTGTTGGTCACTTAAGTATCGACTTTCACCACCAATTAAGCTGTTGGAAACTTTGTGGACAAAGTAGAGAACTCACTTGTTAGTTTTCTTAAATTTTAGTATCTGAAAAATAAAATACAGCATTTCTGTTGTTTGGAAAAGCTGAAAAATCTATAGGGTAGTTGTCTTTAAGCATGGATGAAAGAGGTAAATTATTCTTCTCTTGTCTGTGTTAAATTAGAAAGATTTGGATATAGTCTCAAAATAACAAAGGATGTAATGACTGTTTTGACTTCTTGCCACAGTTAGCAAATATTGTCCCTAGTTATGTTTACCCAAGTCAGGAAAACTATTCATCTTTTTGGTTTTGTTTTGATCTTTACAGATGTTTGGGACACTTATCTATGACCATATTCTCTCTTTTGCCTCACTCCCTCATACTCCACCCCTTTGTACCTCCCCCGGCGAACTGCAATTCATTTTGCCAGTTGTGTGAGCTATTACTTGTGCTGAAGTTCTGTGCTCATAAAAAGAAATGCATTTTCAAAAATCTGTTGTATGTTCTCTCTCTCTTTTTGAATAGCTTACAGACGTTTTTGTTGGATGGTAACTATCTTCAGTCTCTTCCTGCTGAGTTGGAGAATATGCAGCAGCTCAGTTACCTAGGACTGTCCTTCAATGAATTCACAGACATTCCAAAGGTTTTGGAGAAACTGACTGCTGTAGATAAACTTTGTATGTCTGGAAATTGTATGGAGACCCTCAACCTGCAGGCTTTAAGAAGAATGCCACACATTAAGCACGTGGATTTAAGGTAACCAGTTAATAGAGGCATGGGCCTCCAAATGAAAAAAGCTAGCAACTTTTGTACTTTCTAATTGAATTGTTATTTTGTATTTTAGGATAGATGGTTCTCCTAAAGCTGTTACTGAGCTTATTAGGGAAGCGCCCACAACCTTATTCAGTGACAGCTGCTATAAACAAAGCAGGGTAATTGTAGCTAAGGATCACTGGTTGTTTGTGCACATAATATATAGTACAGGGCCAGAGATGGATTAACGTGTTAGAAGTGACTATGCCATTGGGAAAATCCTTTTTAAATAATTCTTGCCCCCCTTGACTTCTTCGTATTATTCACTCTGTTGACCGTGCCCTTTTTCTTGAGTCTGTACTCTCACCTTGTATTTCTTAGAGCAATGGGCCTGGAGTCAAGAAGAGTTGAGTTCAGATGCAGCCTCAGACATTTCCTAGCTGTGTCATCCAAGTCACCTAAGCTCTGTCTGTCTCAACTTCCTCATCTGTAAAATGGGAATAATAATAGCACCTATCTCCCAGGGTTGTTACAAGGATCAAATGATCAAATTGTCTGTAAAGTGCTTAGCATGGTGCCTGGCATGTATTAGGCACTTAATAAATGCTTGTTTCCTTCCTTCTTAAGCTACTCATTCATTCTCTGTCTCTTACGGTCACTGTTGTCACCCATAAATGATACTTCCCAAGACTGTCCTTGACCTTCCTCTCTTGTTTATTTGTACTCTCAAATTCAGTTATTCCATACACTCTAATAACTTCGACTCTTAACTTTTTTCACATCTGGCCTCAGGCACTTACCATACTTATATCCAGTCCTGACTGCTCTCTAAGCTTCTGTACTATATTTCACACTACCTGCTATATATCTACACTCTAAATGCCTAACTGGCATCTCAAATGACATATCCAAAAAGAAACTCATCATCTGGCTATATCTTGTAATTTTTATGTCTTTTTATGGCTTCACCTATCCCCTGGAGGAAGTAGCTACATATAGAGGGCTGAACTTGGAGTCAGGAAGACTTGAATTCAAATTCTGCCTCATTTACTAGCTATTTGACTCTAGTTATATCATGGAGCTTCTGCCTCAATTTCCTCATCTGTTAAATGGGTATAATAATGGCATCTCCCTCCAAGGATTGCTACAAGAACAAAATGAATTAATATTTGTAAAGTGCTTTGCAAATCTTAAAGTGTTATACAAATGCTAGCTACTACAACGATGTCAGTGACATGATATCTTCTATCTAGATACAACACCTTGTAGTTATAGTTCCCTTTTGTTTCTTTGTTCCTCATATCCAGTCTTAATATCATTTTCTCAGTTTTCTCTTCCAGATGTTTCTCAGATTCTTTTCTTTTTACTTTCACTGCCACCAGTAGGAGATAATCTAGTTCACCTTCCTCATTGGACAGGTGAAGAAATGTAGGCTAAAGACAAATGAAATGATTTTTCCTGGGTCACATAGGTAGAAATCAGTAGAGATCACTTTATCTCTCTGCCTCTTTTGACTCTCAGCTCAGCGGTTCCCTAACTTTCTTGGTTCATGGTACCTTGGTACCTCAGTTTTTTCATGGTGCTCCTAAACAAAAAAAAATAATTTATTGTTAGATACAAACAACTTAATAAGTATTTGTATCCTAACAACTTAGTTGCATCTCAAAAGTAATTGAAAGAATTGAAAAAAGTAATTGGAAGAATTTTTATTTCATTCTTTATATGACTCCAATTACTTACTAATGGGATGCGTGTCTGTGGCAGACACTGAACAGCTTCTCAGATCTTAGAATCGGCTCGAACACTGTCAACCTCATTTCCTGCTTCACATCAGTTTTCGTGCATTACTTGCTTTTTATCACAGCAATCACGGAAAAGCTAGTTCTGCAAAGATAAAATGTTCATAAGGGAGAAAGAAGTTGCTGGCATAGCCAAAAGAACAAATTACCAAAAAAAAAAAAATAACCTCACACATTAGAGAATGTCATAGAAATGAATATAGCACCGTCCCATATTGACACTGTGAACTGTCTGAAGGTAAGAGTTCTTTGGGCAATGTCCAACTGATGTTGAGTATCCCTTGTTTCCTTCAAAAATTTAAAATTTTCTGCTATACTCTCGTCAGTATGCTGTGTACATGGTTTGGAAACTGAGATCTTAACTGCATCCAAGAGGACTGTGTTTTAGTAAACAGTCAAAATTGAAAATAGCGATTGGCCTAGAGAGAAGCTATTGTTCATCATATAATTTCTTTTTTTGAATCATGTTAGAGAAGCATCATCAATTTAAATGATAACCTTTCCTGTCATTAAAGATTATGGGTCTTCCTATTTCATCTCGTTATACCTATTATTCCTTTTGTGATTTGCAACTAACAAGACTGTTTTGTCTAAGTTTTCAGTGAAGTACCTTAGCGTAGACTTAGAGGCAGACTTAGAATGGGCCTTAGCCATCTAGTTCAATCCCCTTGCTTTTTATAGATGAGGAAACTGATGCCCCATGAGGTGGAGTTATTTGTGTGAAGTTACAGAGCTTTTAAGTGTCAAAGAGAGCTCAAGATTCGATATGATTTCCAGTTCAGTGTTTTGAACTCTACTACCTCTTATAAATGATGTATTACTGACTGACCACAGTTATTAAATTACCAGTTGGAGGAAGAATATTTCTAAAATCTGGTGACATTTTGTATCCAGAATGAAATCTGTTTTGCTGCCTGTATATAAGTTTTAGCAGCATAGGGAACCTTTGGGAATAATCCAAGTGCCCAACTTGGAATTGGATTTTTATTTTACATCCTGTAGGTGGAATAAAAAGAGAAGAGGAAGAATACCTTTGGGCCCCTTACTGAATGGGTGGGCCTCCTTGTTGCCCTTGTGATTTCCTGTAGTTGATTCCAAGCAGACATGCTCTCTCCTCTCCTTTTCATATTGGCTTTATGCTGTATCTCTTGATGAGGGTGGCATGACACATTCCACCTTCTTCTCCATTCATCGTTAAACTCACTGAAGAGGAAAGCTCTCTTATCTTGGTGGTTGGAAGTGAGAAGATAAATCTTCAGATGTTTGCTGAAGGTCAGCCTTCATACTTAATGTTCTTCCTCTCAAGTGGCCATTATATGATTTCTGGTGAGTTCCTGCCATTCCAAGAGAGAAGTTGCTTGGGGGGGAAGATCTTGGAATTTTGTTGCTTCGGTAATATCAAATAAAGTTTTTCTTGGAGGAAGGTATCATATGGCAAAATAGGAATTGGGAATTTTCAACTCATCTTTGTAACGATATATCCCTTTGTTATGTTGGTCAGTATTCTCAATTCTCCTTTGTATCTTAGTGGCCAAAGTCTTCTGGCATCTCTTCTCCAGGAACCTCTGCCAGAGAGCTAGAAGATTCTCCTATTATAGACTGTGCTGATTTGGACCTGGGTTCTAGTCCAGCCTCAGACACCTACTGACTGTGTGACTGTGGGCATGTTTGTAGCCTCTCAGTGCATCAGGCAGCTCTGACACTCTAAGTGGTAGAGCAGACACTGTTCTGCTTTGATAGTGGGCTTTTCCTAACTGAACTTCTTTCTACCAATGAAATCACAGATTGAGTACAAAGAAAATTAGATACTTTTAGATAGACTTTTTTTTCTGTGAACTTTATTCCATCCTCATTTTGTTGTTCTTTATCCTATAACCTCTAGTCACTGGCCCTTTGTGTGCCAGATTTCTATTCATTCTGAGCTTTCTCATTCCCAGTAATTCTTAGGGACAGCAATAGCATCAGTAACTCATTCGCAGCCTTGAACCAGCTAAGAGACCATGTGGCTTACGTTTTTTCCCCTTTTGTGCTCACTTCATCAGACTATGCTGTATCTGTAAACTTTATCAGTTTCTCCTGGGTTCAGACAGAAGCAAGAGGATGTAGTGGAAAGAGATTGGGAATCTGAAGATGTAGGTTCAAATCCTGATTTTGCTACTTACTACCTGTGCAAGCTTGGGCAAATCATTTAACTACAATTGGAATAGATGTCCCCTAAGGTCCCACTCTAAATCTTATGATACTTGCGATACTGCCTCTCTGCTCCTCTATTTTTTTTTCAGATTTGGATATTTATTGTAGTAATAATAAGCATTCCAGGAAGTTGAGGTTTTTCCCCTTTAGCAGCACAGGGAACCTTTGGGAATAATCCAAAGTTGTCTACAGTATGATGTCAGTGGTTTTCCTTTTGCTGAAATAAATTAATTCTGTGATATGATCCTCTTAAAATAATTTCAGTTGGAGTATACGTGCTAATTTTTTCCCTAGCCACAATTCCCTCTGTTGTATTTAAGAATGTACTGTCAAAATTAAAACCTTTGTGAGTTACAAGATAGGGACAGTCAGAAAAGCTAGCCATTTAGACCAATCCAGATTGTTGAGAATGAAGAAATTATGACCAGACCTTCACAGTAATCCTTGAGTATTTGGTACCGCCAAAGTGGGAATGGGTTGTATTTATAATGTGGAAGTTAAATACCATCTTTATCTGAATCTTCTTCCTTCTCCCTCTAAGATTGAATGTAATTAGGAAGCTGATGGTGCAGGAGGTGGACTTCCTTCCACATGTGACTCAGCTAGACTTACGAGATAATAAGCTCGGTGATCTGGATGCAACGGTTTTCAACAATCTTGAAGTTCTGCACTGTGAAAGGAACCAGTTGGTGACACTCAATGTTTGTGGCTATTTGCTCAAAGCACTCTATGCCTCTTCAAACGGTAAGTGAAGCAGGTAGTACCAATGTCCATTCTTGTGCTGCCAGTGCTTCCTTCCTCCAGGACTCTCCCTGCCCGCCTTCTTCTGCTGTCATGGAAATGCAAATGTTAAATGAAGCTAAGACACAGGGCATGAAGGAGGGGGACATCCTGATTTGGTGGGAAGAGTAGAGGAAGGAAAGTCGTAGTTCTTCTGTTATTCCTTGTATTATTTTGTTGTAATTATTGAACCGAGTAATCTCCTCTTCTGACTTGGCTGTTCTACCTGGGGGGAAGCGGAATGGCAGGGGAGGACCTAGCATTTTTCTTAGAGCTCTTTGGTAACTGAATATGTGAGTATGTCTCTGAGGACCAGAACAGGAATATCCTCTACAAAGTGGACGGTACAATCATTCACTACCTCCATCTCACAGGAGTGATATGAAGAAAGCATTTTGTAAATGATAAAATGTTAAGTAAATTCACTCTTAAAGTTATTATTATTAAGTAACCAGAAAGGGAAGCTGGTTAATCTATCTAAGTTAAGACAATATTGATACAAGAGATCATCTAGTTCAGGGATTCTTAACTGGAGTTCCACAGAACCCAACCATGGATAGATTTCAGGAGGTCTGTAAACCTGGATGGGAAAAAAATATAACTTTATTTCAATATAATTGGTTTCCTTTGTATTTCTACATATTTTATTCATTCAAAAACATTCTGACAAAGGGTGCCGAGGCTTACCTGGACTGCCAAAAGGGGTCCACAACACAAAACAGGTTAAGAACCCCTGATCCTAGTTCAAGGGTTCCTAACCTAATTTTATAGAGGAGGAAACTGAATCGCTGAGTTACTCAGGATCATTCAAGTAGTAAGCATTGTACAAAGCTAACAAGACTTTCATAATGAAGAGAAAGCATGTAATGGAATGTATGGGGAAATGAGACCATTCTTGAAACCTATTCAAGAGGGTTTAGTAATAACTATACGAAGTAACATTTATATAGTGTTTTAATAAAGGTTTGCAAAGGCCTTTACGTGTATCATTTCACTTTACCTTCATAACAACCCGGTTTCCAATATGTTTAATAAATAATTCTTGCTCATAATTTGAAAATAGTGGCAATTCTAATAAAGATCACAAGGATATAGTTGATTCCTAAAGTAAAGATTTCAGACCCTCTTTTAGTTAAAAAAAAAAATTAAAGACACTTCAACAGATTCTTTAGAAATTATCTGTTTTTTGCTTAGCACTTTTTATGATACTGAGGAAATATTTGCTAGGCTTCAGCCCTCAAGTATCTTACAGTCTTATTGGGGGTATAAGACATGGAACTATTATAGAAGAGTAGAGAACAAAATATAATCACGTCCTTAATTGCGTACTATGGATTATATGTACCATGCAAATTTGGAAAAGGGCAAAATCAGTATGGACTGAACAGTGAAGAATGGTTAGGCTTTGAATAGAGAAGGAGGGGTACACTCCAGTCAATTCAACATCTACTACTACATCTGAATGGGAGCAAAATCACAGAGGTGGAAATGAGCTTGATGTGGTCAGGGAACTGTGGTGAGATGATAAAGTGAAAAGTTAAAATTGAGGAACAGAGATGGGGTTTAGCTGAGTAGGCAGGGTTAAATTTTAGAGGGCTTTGAATGCCAAAGCAAGGAGCTTAGACTCAGTCTAGGAAACACTAAGGGACCATTGTAGGCTCTTAAGCAGGGAGTAGTGTGATAAAAGCAGCATTGTAGTACTATTATTCTGGCCACATTATTTAAAGTAACTTGAATAGTGAGATTATTTAAAGTAAAAGAACCCAAAGTCAAGGAGGTAGTTAATGCAATCATCCAGGCATTCACAAAGGTTGTGCCAGGGGACGTGGAAAGGGGCCACAATTAAGGACATTTCAGCGAATATTGAATACAACATACATGTAGGGGCCTGGGCCAGCAAAGATGAAAGAAAATAGTACCAGCCTCAGATGAATTTATTATCTAATGTGGGGATAAGACAGTAATAAAAGGTTAAGTGTTATATATGCTATGAGAAGTTTGAGGAGAGAGTAGTTGCTCTCTGATGGGAGGTCATGAAGGAGGTAATCCATGAGTTGGGCCTTGGAGATGAAGAGAGATTTTGACCAGTGTAGATGGGAAAGGGGGCAGAATCCATTCCCAATGTCAGAGACAGGGAAAATGAAGGCATGGAGGTTGGATTCTCAGGACTTGGGTCTGTGATCCCATCAGCATGGGAGTTTCCGTCAATGATGCCACTCACATCCCTTTCATGCCTAATATAGATACAAAGGTTAAGACTGAAGGGTCAGATTTTAAGCCTGAGTGACTGGGAAAATGACTATATTGTTGACAGAAATGGGCAGTTTTTGGAAGAGTGCAGAATTGTGGGAGAAGAGATGTCTTTGGCCAGTGATCTGTTGAGTAGAAGGAAATAAAACATCCTGGATGAAATGTTAAACAGGCTCTTGAATAGGAATGAAGCTTAGTGAGACAATGTGGGCCATACATGCAGATTGAGATGTCTTTGACACAGAAAAGATCATTGAAATCATGAGAGTGAGTCAGTTTCTTAGAGCAACGAAGAAAAGATAGGAGAGGAACAGGGACCAGAGGATCACAGTCTCATAGATTTCAAAGGAGCAGATGATCATCAGCGTCACATGTCTTAGGGAGGTTGAGCATAAGGACAGTTGGGAATAGGCACTGGATTTGGCTAGAAGGATGGTCATTGGTGACTGGGAGTAGTTTTAGTACAATTGTAAAAGCAGAAAGCTAGATTGTGGAGGATTTTATGGAGGAAATGTCAAAGATGCATAGAATTCATTTGTTAATTCACCAATTATAACAGTATTTATGTCAAGACAAGAGGAATGGAGAGCTAAAATCTAGATACAGGAGTGGGGAAAAAGTGATAAAACCACTTATTCAGTCTTTCAGATAAATCACGATTGCATGCAAAAGATCCCTTTAGTTAAAGTGTCAGAGTTAAATTATGAACGCAGAGGGAAAAAAAGATAATGATACTTAATCAACACATTTCTGTGCCATTTTTATAGTATTTTCATGTCTTGTTTTTTTCCCCCCTTAGAACTTGTGCAACTCGATGTTTACCCAGTTCCGAATCATCTGACCTTCATGGATGTTTCTAGGTAAGGAGTCAATGTGCTAGAATTGGAATGCTTTGAGGTAAAATTGTTTGAAAATTCTTTAAGCAATTCCAGCTGAATTCATGTATAAACTCTCTCTTAAATGTAAAGCATGTATATGAAATCTCAATGTTGTTCCATTAGTTTTTATTATTTAGGCTTTAAAAGAGTGCCTTAGCAATGTACCCATTAAAATGTTCCAGTGGTAGTGGCATAATTATCTTGAGAAGAATGTGTCACAGCCCAGCTGTGAATACTTGTACTCAATAGTGATCCAGCCTAACTAATTACAAATAGACCAAGATGACGAATAGAAGAAAAATCTTAACATTAGGTCTGGTCAGTTAGCTGAGCATCATTGCCTGGAGCTCAGACAGTGGAGAGGCAATACAGTGTGGTGAAGAGCGGTGAGCTGGGGAGCTTAAGGAGGCCTCAGTTCTGCCAGTAGCTATCACTTTGAGCAAGAACTTTTTTTTTCATCTTTGTAAGAAGAGAATTGGACTATATGATTTCTCGGGTTTGTGTTGTATTCTAAATATCTAAACTTTGCCCTAAGTTGTTTCTTTGTGTGAATTGGGGTGTGTATATGTGTAATTTTGCTTATATTGAATAATGTTCCCCTACCTGGGTCTACATTTCTGTTCATCCTTTGTAGCATTTTTAGCTCTGTGTCTTGTCAAAGGATCCTGACTCCTAAAATCAATATTTGGATTATATATTCTGACCAGTCCCCTAGTTCTGTTTGTAAATAGGAAAGTTGAATGAATCTCACAGAATCATGCCGCACTGTGGCATTTATTCCATTTGAAAGGAATGTTATGGTGAAGTTGATCCTAAAGCATAGAGGTATATGTGATCCAACTATAACCATGCATGTACTTAAATAGTTTTAGTTTGAATGTAACATAAATAAATATGAAAATATAGTATAATGTATAAATGCTGTAAGTATAATCATAGTTTTTACTTAAGTGTAGGTAACACTTAAAAGTGTAAAATTCAGCTTACTAAAATAAGTTCTAGAATTTAGAGCACCTAGAAGGGAACACAACATATGGGGAGTGGAGTCCAGGATGTATAGACTGTCTAAATATGTTTAACTTGATAAAGTTATCTTTGCATTCAAAATACAATAAAATAATTCACCTAATTTTCCTATATGGTTCATAAACTGGCAGAAGGCAAGTCCAAATGGGCAGGTCCAAAGGTATATTAAACGGTAGAAGCAATGTTATGAAATATAGATGGCCTCCCATGCTGATTGTTTAAAAGGAGAGCATTCATTTAGTCATGGGAGTTCTGGCATTTTTGTTTTTAAAAGAACGACTCTCCCTACTTCATAATCAGCTATCACATATGAGACATCTTTGAACACATTTTGCCTTTGATCATGAACAAGCAACTCTAGGCAGTTTTAGTACTAAAGTACTGGTCCTGGAGGAATTGAGCAACTGCCTCACATTTCAATATCATTATCATCATCAACATCATCATTTGAGAGGCAGTTGAGGTTGATTTGCCCAGGATTGCACAGCTAGTAAGTGTCAAATGTCATCATTATTATTTTTAAAAATTATGTGAAAGTTTTATTCTCGTATTTCTTTCTAATTATATACTTCACATATTGTTATTTGAAGGACAGGGCCTTGGGCTTAATAGAAGAGATTGTCTTTGACATCTCTTTTATCCTAGGACCAAAACTTAGGCTGAATCCTAACTTTAAAAAAAAAAATGTGCCTTTATTTGTAGGAACCACCTGGAAAGCATGCCTGAGTGGGTTTGTGAGAGCCGCAAGCTAGAAGTGTTGGACATTGGTCATAACCAGATCCGTGAGCTCCCTGCGAGGTAAGTACTGTAGACCAAAGGACCAAACCTGAAACTAGAAGTCACTCAGAATGCTGAGTTAGTGTGTACCTTGTCCCTGTGACAGAAAAGCTTGTTTTCATCTTTTGTTTGGTGTCTTTTACCTCATGTGGTGTCATTGGGCTATAAACTTGGTCTGGCCTTTTCTTCTTTACTTTCATGCAGTGAAAAACAGAATGTGGCTTTGAATTTCAGCCAAACATTTTAAAGCCATGCAGAGTTAGTACGTAGTGGAAGTTTTTTATTTTATTTCATAAACCAAAAAGAATGTTCAAAGACGTGTCAAGCTACCTGATGGGGCCACCTATAGGATCTTGATCCTTTTGGAATGCACCATTTGTACAAATTGATTGTAAGAAATGACTTCCTCGCTTATTACTTCAATATAGTTCTTAAAAAGAAATTTTCATAGATCTTAGCTTGTTAATAAACCTGATACCAACAAGCAGAGTTTTGTTTTTCCTAATATGAAATATGGGCTAAGAGACCTTTCCTTTTCCTCTGTTTCTCTTCTCTTTCTCTCTTATTCTCCCCAATTTTCTTTTGTTTCCTAATCTTTAATGAAATGACCTGCTGGATTTATAAAAAGACCATGTGATCCCCAATGTCCACAACCCTGCCCCCAAAAAACAAACAAAAAAAAACACCAGGCATATCCTTTGTTTTCAGGTTGTCAAAATTTGCAACAAAATATTTTGGGGAGACTGAGCTATGATTCAGTGTACATCCAGTCCCTTTCTACTCTTGTCCACTGATCATTAAGCATGAGGAAATGCATGGTACCATGATCATTCATTCAGTGATATAGAGCCAGATTCTTCCTTGAAAACACTGTTGAGGGGCAGCTAGGTGGCACAGTGGATAGAGCACTGGCCCTGAAATCAGGAGGACCTGAGTTCAGACCCGGCCTCAGACCTAACACTTGACACTTACTAGCTGTGTGACCCTGGGCAAGTCACTTAACCCCAACTGCCTTTAAAAAACAAAACAAAACAATGTTGAGGGAGTGTATAAATCTGTTTTTCACAGGAGCTTTTATATTAAGAGATTATCCTTAAAGCTAATTGTTGGGAATTCTGATGGTGAATAAAATCACATTTTCTGTTAAAGAGTTAGTTAGTTGTGGAATATACATGTTTAGTTGACCTGTCCAAGAGCCAGAGAGTAATTTCAACTGAGTGCGAATAAAGCCAAGGTCACTTTTTCCTTTTTTTTTTTTTTTTTAGGCAATTGGGGTTAAGTGACTTGCCCAGGGTCACACAGCTAGTAAGTGTCAAGTGTTTGGTCTGAGGCTGGATTTGAACTCAGGTCCTTCTGACTTCAGGGCTGGTGCTGTATCCACTGTGCCACCTAGCTGCCCCAAAATCCAGTATGTAACTTTTTTTTTTTAAGGCAGTTGGGGTTAAGTGACTTGCCCAGGGTCACACAGCTAGTAAGTGTCAACAAGGTCACTTTTTCAATCCCTACAATAATCAAATTCCTTCTGTATAGTCTGTGTCCATCAGTTGCACTCCTATCTAAATATAACTCTTTTACAAATGTATAGCCTTTATTACTGTAGGGAATAAGTGTGTGTGGAGCAATGCATTACTAGAATAACTGTTTAAGCACATGCAATGTTGACATTGGTATAGCCTCTTAATATGTAATAGTATCAGGGGAGAACAGGGACATCAAACATTGTTTACTAAGTAGGAAAAAGGGCATTTAAGAGAGCCTCAGGATTAGAAGGGACTTCAGAAGCCATTCGGTACAAACATGTACCTGAACAAAAATCCTCTCTACAAAATACTGGCAAACAATCAGCCGGCCTTTGCTTGTTGACTGCCAGTGAGAGAGAGAGAGCTCCCTTCCAGGACCATCCGTTCTACTTTTGGATAGCTCTTGTAATTAGGAAGTTCTTCCTTCAAGCCTGAATTTGCCTTTTAGCAGCTTTCATCCATCCTTTCTGGTTCTGTTCCCTGGGCAGAACTGTCTTATCCTCGTTAGATTTTCCTTCTCCAGTCACATCCACCATTTCCTCCAGTTCCTTGGGATGCAATACATCTGGCCTAGTGACTTTAATTCATCAAGGATGTCTAGGTTACCTTTTTACCATCTTCTTAATTTGGGGCATCAGCCCACGGGGAACCATTTTTTGTCTGTTCTTTCCACACGAAGCTTTTTCTCCTTTCAGAGAAAACAAGCTCAGTAAGAATTGAGCAATTCTCGCTTCTTTCTGTCATGTGTTGTTTTATCATACACCATAAGCAGCAGTCCTCATACCTTCTTGATACTCTTATCATTTTACAAAATCTTTTTTCTTGTTCTTGGCATTCCTAGCCAGCTTCACGTCATTCAGTTCAGTAGAACTCCAGCCTAAGTCATATGGAATGGTGCTGTGCTTTTGAATTCTTCCTCCATTATCTGCCCTCAAGGCCATCATCTTCACATATGTGTTTGAATTTAAATTGATTGATGAGCTCCCTCTTGGGCTCTTTGGATAAATTCCCTTTTTTGTTCTCATCAGATTTTTTTTTAAATTTATGTTTTTAGAATTTTATTCTTGAGTTTCCTGCCCACCCCAGGCCATTGCCTGTGTAGAACTTTAGTCCCTAAGATCTCATTTATCTTTTCTCTTTACCCCTTAAATCTGTTCTCCCCAAATGTAGGGTGCCTGTCAGTCTACACCTGGCTTTCCTTCCTTTCTTTATCACAAATTCTAATTTGGATTGTCCATTTTCTTTCCAGGTTCTTATTTTAGCTTATTCTTATCCCTTGTGGGTGAGAATCAGATCTAGGATGGCAGTCGTTTTCTCTACCTTTTAAAGGCTCAAATTATCATTAAAGCAAGTCATAGAATTGTTACAGGGCCTTCTTTGGTCAGAGAGTGAGCTCCAGCAATGATCCAGATGATTGAAGTTTCCCTCGCATGACAATGTGATGTCTACATGCCAAGCTTGTTGACTTTCCCCAATTATTTACTCATCTGATCTGTTCCTTTTGACTAAGGTATAGCATACCTTTCTAGAACCATGTTCCAGTCCTGGGTCTCATCCCACCAGCTGTCAGTGACATGGGAAAATAGCTTCCTCTGAGCCAGGATGTCTAGTTTGTCTTGCTCATTCCTCATACCTTGTGCTTTTGTGTGTAGACATCCAGAGCAATGGTTTTGTTGCTGGCTCTTTCCTTCGATTTTTGTGAGTCTCTGGTTGTCTCTACTGCTATTCTTTTTCCTCCATTGTGGCTTCTGTCTGTTGTAGGGGTTCTTAAGCTTTTTGAGTTTCATGGACCCCCATAGCAGTCTGGTGAAGCCTGTTGCCTACAATTATAACTGAAGGGCATGCTAAATTTCAGTTAGAGGTTAGTAAAAATTAAGACTTACTTTTTTTTCCTTATCTTTGTCTGTCTGAATGAATTTTCTTCTCTTTTCTCTTCTTTTTCAGTATAAAACCCTTTTGATTAGTTTTTCAAGACTCCAGGCAAATTCATTCTTAACAACTTTTAAAAAAAACACCAAAGTACATTCTATCTCTGGCCAGAAACATGTCATTCCTATATTTTAAGCTGGGCTCCAGTAATCTGAATCCTAGCCTTGCAGACCATGTTTGTTTGTTTGTTTGTTTTTAATTAATTAATTTATTTTTAATTTTCAGCATTCACTTCCACAAGATTGAGTTTCATATTTTTTCCCTGTCTCTCCCCTCTCCCCACCTCAAGACATCATGCATTCTGAATACCCTTTCCCCTAATCTGCCCTCCCTTCTATCACCTCCCCTCCTTTATCTCCTTCTATTTTCCTGTAGGGTAAGATCGATTTCCATGCCCAATTTGAGACACACTGTGTTTTTAAAGAGCAGTTCTCTTCCCAAGTCTGCCTTTTTCTCTTTTCAAGCCCTTGCTTCTATAGGTCAGCATTCCTCTGTGCCTCTTTAGAACTTTCTTCTTTTTTCTCACATTAAAGCTTTTTCCCATTTTTTTTTAAAGCAACACTTCATTCTGTCAAATAACCTGAAAAGTAGAGAGACATTCCTCCAGCCTCTTTGCCTTCTATTTTAGGATTACGTCCAGAATGCACTGAGATCATAAATAACCAGTCCTGCCCACTATGAAGACTGTTGCAAAAGTCTTCTGTTCTCCATACTTGCTTAGTAACTCTATTAGAGAACTTGCTAGAATCTGACCTGTAGAATTTCCTCAAATAAAGTTATTGTAAATGTCTCATCTTCTCTCTCCCCTCAACCCTCCCCTCAAGACTCCAGGTAAATTAATTCTTAACAACCTTTAAAAAAAACACCGAAGTACATTCTATCTCTGGCCAGAAACATGTCATTCCTATATTTTAAGCTGGGCTCCAGTAATCTAAATCCTAGCCTTACAGACCATGTTTGTTTGTTTGTTTTTTTAATTAATTAATTTATTTTTAATTTTCAGCATTCACTTCCACAAGATTGAGTTTCATATTTTTTCCCTGTCTCTCGCCTCTGCCCACCTCAAGACAGCATGCATTCTGAATACCCTTTCCCCTAATCTGCCCTCCCTTCTATCACCTCCCTAAGAGATTCTCATTAACAAGCTGATAAAAGTCCACACTTAATTTAAGTACGTAGAACTTGCTACATCTTTAATTGTAATAGTCTCCCAGGTAACACCTTTATGATATATGAAATATCTGGAATTTATTATCTATATTCTAGCCCTCAGGGGCAGTTAGGTGGCACAGTGAATAGAGTACTGGGCCTGGGTTCAAATCCAACCTTAGACACTTACTTAGACACTTAGTAGTGGTGTGACCCTGGGCAAGTGACCTAACTGCTATCTGTCTCAGTTTGTTCAGTTGTAAAATGAGGATGATAACATCACTTACTTTCCAGAGTTGTTGTGAGGATCAAATGAGATATTTGTAACACATTTATCACAGTACCTGGCATATAGTATAGAAATTCAATAAATACTTGTTGCCTTCCTTCCTCTGTTAAAGACACAAAAACAAAAGACAATATAGCTGACCTTTAATCAGAATTTTTCCCAAAGATATTTAATCTTAAATTTATTTTATGTTAATGGAAACTGTTTTAGGTTATTATTATAAATAATAATAATAATAGCTAACACATATAATATTTATAGAGGCAGCTACGTGACTTAAGTAGATAGAGCTCTGGGACTGGAGTCAGGAAGATCTGAGTTCAGACACTCACTAGCTGTGTGACCCTGGAAGAGTCACTTAACTTCTGTTTGCCTTAATCTGCTGGAGAAGGAAATGGCAAACCTCTCTGGTATCTTTGCCTAGAAAATCTTATATGGGGTCACAAAGAATTGGACACGAATGAATAACAAATATAGTATCTATACTATGTGCCAGGTACTATGCTAAATGCTTTATAAATATTATCTCATTTTATCCTCATAATAACCCTATGGGGTAGGTGCTAAGAAACCCAAGCTTAGAAAAGTAGCACATTATATGAGGTAAAGTCTCAGTGTTGAAATTCAGTGTGAGATAGGATAAGCAGGAGAAAGGGAGAGAATTTCTTACTTAAAATTTATTTTAATGAATGTTATATTTTTTTAAATGTAATTGGGAAATAATTAAATAAATAAAAATATTTTTTAAAAATTCAGTGTAAAAATTTTAGCTGTATTGGATACCAGTGTTAGAACGGATTACATCTTCTGCCTGATTAATGTATCTCTTTGGGGAGGAAATCAGGTGATAAATACATATGTGTACATGTAAATATGTATGTCAATATATCTATCTATTTCTATCTTTCTAAAATGTTGACAAAAGTTATGTGTTTTTAGTCTATACTGAACTAGATTAGCTAATACTATCTTAACTAACTCTTCCATAGTATCTTTCTCAGTCCCTCACTTTTAGTATTATGGCTAACATCTGATGTTATTGGTTACAACAGTTATAGAAACCACATGCCACTAAAATGTGGTTTTATATCTTCTCATGCAACATTTTTCTTTCATTTTACTTCTAATCATCAATAGAAAAAGAAGCATGCCCAGGCTTGCAAATAGCTCTTCAAATATCAAGATAGAAAAACAGAATAGATGAATTTCATTCCCAACACAATATATTCATTCTAGCATTAAACAAAAACAAAATAGGAAACCTACAGTCTTCTCAAAAAAAAAAAAATCCGAATACATACAGGTTGGGAGAAAAAGACAAAGAAAAAAATATGAGTCTACAAGTGAAGAAAGAGTGGTATAGCTTTTTCTGTATACATCTAAAAAAAAAACTTTCAAGGGGCAGGTAGGTGGTAAAGTGGGTAGAGAACTAGCCCTGGAATCAGGAGGACCTGAATTCAAATCCAGCTTCAGACGCTTAATAGCTCTGTGATCCTGGGCAAGTCACTTAACCCCAATTTTCTCCCCCCCCCCAAAAAAAACCACTTTATTGGCTTAATTAATAGCTAGTCAAAAATATTTGTACTATATTTCTGTGCTAAGCACTGAAGTAGGTGCAATAGAATAGTATGATTGATTCCTTAGTGATTAATTAGGTACCTACCATGTGCAAGGCATGATGTAAGAGACTAAGGATGTAGACAAAGACTAAACACTTCCTGTCCTTAAGGAGCTTCCATTCTACTAGAGGAATATGACAAATATACAAAGAATTAAAAGGGAGATAGAAATCTTGCTATGAAAACTTAAGATTAGCATTTTTTATTTCCTTCCTGCATACACACATCTCTTTTTACCCATTCTTCCATTTTGTGACCCTATCATTCAGCTTCCCTTTTCTTCTTCCTTTCCTATTTTTTCTCCTCTTTTATTTAGAGGAAAACAGATGTGTTTACCAATGAGTATGCCATGGTTATATGTAGAAAAAACACACCTTAGAATTGTTCAGTTGTTTTTCAGTCTTGTTTAATTCTTCATGCTCCCATTTGGGTTTTTCTTGGCAAAGATGCTGGAGTGGTTTGCCCTTTCCTTCTCCAGCTCATTTTACAGATGAAGAAACTGAGGCAAATAAAGTTAAGTGACTTACCCAGGGTCACACAGCTAGGAAGTGTCTGAGGCCAGATTTGAACTCAGGAGGATGAATCATCCCAACTCCAGGCCCAGCACTCTAAGCACTATGCCACCTAGCTTCCTTAAAGTAAATTACTGACAACTTGGAGTAGAACTTCCTATAAATACTTGAGAGTTCACCACCTTTTATTTCTTTAAAGTTACTCAAAAAAAGAAAGGAAAAGTTTGAGATGGAGATAAACTCCTACCTTGTGTTGAAACAGACTTTCTGTTTCTCAGATCATTTTGATCCATGCAGCTTTGGGAGATGGGGGGGTGAGGAAGATTTGGCTATATTTAATTTTTTAACTGCTTCTCAATCCCTCCCTTTCTAAATTGATTCTGTTGTTCTTCACAGCTTGTTTTGTAATAGTAGTCTTCGTAAACTGCTGTTAGGGCATAACCAGCTAACCAGGCTACCAGAAAGACTGGAGAGAACCCAGGTGGAAGTTCTAGATGTTCAGCACAACCAGCTTGTGGAGCTACCACCCAATCTGCTGATGAAGGCTGACAGGTAACAGAGCAGCAGTAGCAGCCGATGCTGTTGTTTACATTAAGACTTTTGTGTGCATGGAGGCAGGGGAGGTGTTAAGGTGGGGGGTGCAGGGAGGTTTGGAGGGGAGTGGTTTGGAGACCACAGCTAACATTCTGTCTTTTGTGTGGTGTTTGGGTGCACCATCTTCAGGATGGAAACCAAATACAGTTGCCTGGATTTTGCTTTTTGAGGAGCCTGTCACCTCATTTGGCTTGTGTGAACCTTCTGACTTGTCTTTCAGTTTTAAACTGTGTTTCTGGACAGATTGCTGCAAATGTGCTCTCTTTCTTAAAACCAGTGATACTATTTTCCCCTGCTTCCTACCCATTGAGAGCCCACATTTACTAATTTTGCTCCTTTCCCAAAATACAGCACAAACATGGTTTTGCTAGAAATAGGCCACAAAACCTGTATGTGCTTAACAGAAAAATCTTGAACATCATCTAGAGAAGAACAGTGTTAAACTGTGTGTATAGGTACCTGTGGAGACAGGGTATAAACCAGAGATTCTAAATGTACTTTTGTGTTTGAATGAAAGCATACAGTGCAATGCAGGGCGCTTCTATTTTAACTTCATTATGGTGAGAGTCTTCTTGCAATGATACATTTGTGACTTTTGGTGGTAGATGTTGATTGATTTGGAGAAGTGCCTGAATTTTTTTGCCCATTCTTATCTGTATTGAAACATTTGCTTCAATTTACATATGTTGTCTTCTTTTAGAAGAAAAAAAAATTCCCATTTACAGAGAATTTAAAATGACTTTTTGTTTATTTAAACATTTCTAGGTTTTATGAGTTATTGCTTTATATGGAATCTTTCTATATGGAATAATACAGAGCAGACTTAGAACTCCAAACTATCTTTGCCTCAAAATGGATGAATTCAGCAAACATGTATTATGTATCGTTTGTATGTGTGATGCATTGTGCTATGGTAGACATTAGTGATACAGACATTAAACCAATCCTGTCTCTTAATTCAGAGAGCTTACAATCTAGTTGGGGGTATAGTATACACACACACACACACACATATTATATAAAGGGGGATTATATAAAGGAGAGGTCCAAGCAGAGTAGTATCAGGAATATCAGAGGAAGGCTTCACTTAGAGCTGAGAAAGATCAGGGGGAGGTTTAATGGAAGAGGTGGTATGTGGAGTGGGCCTTAAAGGAAAGGAAGGATTGAAATGCACAGACAATTCCAGCATTCAAGTGATGGCATGAAACAAAGGCACGTGGAAAAGAAGACGGACGACATTGGAAAATGGTGAACAATGAGGATATATTAGAACAAAGAGTGACAGCCAGGTAAGGAAAGGCTGGAAAAAGGTAGATTGAAGATAGATTAAAGAGGACCTCACATGCCGGGGTAAGGACTCAATACATTTTTCCACAGGTAGTGGGGAGACATTGAAGGTTTCTGAGCACACAAGTGATATAATCTCCATGCAGCAGGTAAAGGATATGTTGGAAAGGCAAGAGGCTAAAAGCAGCGAGACCAGCAGTCCAGAAAGAAGTGATAAGGACCTGAATGAAGATGGTTGCCATGGGAATGGAAAGGAGAGAGGAGGAGAGTTCTAGATGAATTGATTCTTCCCTCCCCTTCACTTGCCAGTCCTAAAGAGGACTCTAAGGTGCCCAAGAAACATAATGGCAAACGTAATTGATGACATTCTCCTCAGGGTTCCAACACTTTTAAATTGTATGACTTGTTGGTGGCCTGAAAGTTAATTTGCTACCCATCCTCAGCTAAATGGCCTCACATTCCCCCAAAAATAAAGCTTAGGATGCTTACTAGTTTGGCATTTAAGACCTTTTCTGTTCTGGTGCCATTGCACTTTGCCTTGTCTCGCATCACTCCCTCTCACATGCCCTACACTACTACCAGAGATGCTTTAACTTTAACACAACCCTCACTTCCTACTCCCATACCTTTGTACGTGCCATTCTTTTTTTTTTTTGGTGAGGCAATTGGGGTTAAGTGACTTGCCCAAGGTCACACAGCTAGTACCTGTCAAGTATTTGGTCTGAGGCCAGATTTGAACTCAGGTCCTCCTTACTTCAGGGCCGGTGCTCTATCCACTATGCCACCTAGCTGCTCCCATTCATTTTTTTTTAAATTAATTTATTCATTTTTAGTTTTCAACATTCACTTCCACAAGATTTTGAGTTCCAAATTTTCTCCCCATCTTGTCCCTCCCTCCACCCCAAAATGGCATGCATTCTGAATACCCTAATCTGCCCTCCCTTCTATCTCTCCCCTTCTTCTCTTATCCCCTTCCATTCATTACTCCTAGAGTGCTCTTGATCTACCTCATTACAGCATTCCCACGTACATGTGCACACCCATACATATATAAACACATACACATATACACAAGTATACACATGCACACAACACATACATACGCTGTCTCTATTGAAATCCTGTACATCTTTTGAGGCTAACCTGAGGTGGGGGATTCAGTGCCCCAGGGATTCCATCCATCTCCCCACCCTCAGTGGAGGGCATCTTTCCTTCTGTTTGCCCTGAACAAGACAGTTGCTTGCTCAGCATCCAGTCTTTATTGAATCAGGCCACAGCAATAGCCAAATCATCCAAAAGATGCCAGAGTTTCTGCAGCTGGTGCATCAGGAATGAAAAAGCATCCCCTTGGATCATCCTTTTGATGGAACTTCAGATTTAAAACCATGATGGTATCCAAAGGGTGTCTGCCATTTTGATAACCAAACATCAAGTCTTACATTGGGCTTTTTTCTTTACCTCTCAACTTTCCCTGCTGTAGCAAGTCTGAGTATGATCTGTATCATCTTAATTGCTTGATTTTCTAAAGTGTTAAAACTTTCAGGTAGCATCCATTGAATAATTCTGCACTGCTTTGAAAGCAGAAAAGCAGTTGGCTTGTCCTATAACTAGGTAGGCAGCCAAGTTATTTCTGTCTTCTTGACTTTTAGTGATTACTCCCTCCTAAAGGTAGATCTGATGTTCAAAGTATTTACACTGCTTTATGGTAGGTCATTTGGCTTATGATTTTGCTGCCTTTATTTAGCTTTGAATGTTGTTTTATTTTAACTTGCATTTCAGTAATGCTCAAACTATAGAGACAGATGCATGAAGTGTGAGGGGCCATATGTTGCTGAGGATTTGGCTGTGAGTTTGTATCTTTTGATCAGGATAGGATTTAGTTCTATTGGTCGAACTGGAAAATAGTCCAATCTGGACCATATTGGCATGGATCTCTCTCTTCCCATCTCCCATTCACTTGATGGTGAGGATTTTCTTGGCTGAATGTAAGACCACAGGGACTCTCAGTTAATCAGTTCAGTTTTTACTGGCAGATGCTGCTGGGAAAGTAGATAATTCCTAAGGGTCACTAGAGTGTGTCAGGCACCGCCAGGGGCACTGCTGACCTTCTGCTCCACACCTGCATTCTGGGAAGTGACTGACCTCCTGTCCACTCTGCATCTTAACTTTCATTTGATGGCTGAGTCCTTTCTTCTGGTGAAGTCAATTCAATTTACTAGGATGGTTTGACTGCTCAAACAAAAATGAACAATTTAAAGGGGGGAGGGGATGGGAGAGTATAGAGTACTGCTGCTCTTTTAGCTATGGATGATTTATATATCTATATATATAGATAGATTTGCTATATCATTTCCCCAGAAATGCCTTTAAATGCTGTCTTTGTGTAGACAGGATCAAAAACAGACTTTACTCTTTCATACAGATAAATTAATATGTACTCACTTATCTATATATATGTAGTTAATTTATATATTTAGATTCTGCATAGTTAATCTGCATATTAATTTGTAATCTATAGCTAGTGTAATCTATATATATATAATTTATAGCTAATATAATTTATCTTTATATAATAGATTTATGCATCTCTGTGCAGGTATAGATATAGGTGTGATAGTCTATTCTTAATCCCCTCATTACAAAGATAGGATTCATGTATTTGACATTTCTGAGGAAAATGACATTCAATATAGATATCTGTGTATCTACATAGATATGCAGATACATGCATATTTTTATCCCCTTACCACAAGGAGAGAATTTGAAGATATATAGATATGTGGAAATAGGATGTAGTTATATAGAGATATAAAAATCTTTTTCTCTCTTCACGACAAGGATAGGATATAAAGGCATTTCTGGGAAATTATAGATGTAAAAATGCAGCAGGAATGTTGTGTGTAAGGTTTTATAGTTAGGGGACGTATAAAAATGTAGGAGGGAAGGAGCCCTGTGTTCACCCCTTTCAATGCATTGGGATAATTTATAACCACTGTTGACTAGATTGGTGCTGATTGAGAGGAAGCCAGCCAGTGACAGAAGACACAGGAATGTGAGAAAACAACAGCCTAATTCCCTTCCTCATCCAGACCACTCCTTCAACATAAGAAGCACGTCTTAGGTAGCAGTTTGGGAGTATAGGGTGTACACTGCTGTTGTAGAAACACTTGATTAATGGTCAATACTACTGAATCCTTAGACTGCTGCTTAGTATGTCTTTTGTCGCTCTGTAAGTAATTACAAGAGAGAGGCAATACTTCCTGCTGGAGCCAGGCTATCCCTAAGTGGGTCATTGCCTTCAAATGCCCCATTGTGATAGCAGCCCTGGAATGAAGACCATTCTTGGTTTTATGTTTAAGTATCCTTGGGGTGCTATCCATCCTCAGACTGTAAGTGTCAATGACTTACGGTAGAATAATGATTAATGTTTTGGAGAATGGGGACATTTAGTTCAGTACCTGCTGAGTAAGATTATTCAGTCAACAAACACTTATTAAGAGTCTCCCATGTTCCAGGAGCTGTGCTAAGCACTGGGGAGAGAACAACACGAATGCAATCCATCCTCCTTCTCCTCCATCCTCCTCCTCAGGGAGCTTATAGTCTAGCTGGAGGAGGCAGCATATAGATAGAGATATATGCAAAATAGAAATGAAGGTATGAAAAGGCATTCA